TTTCGGATGTTTTTCGAGTTTTGAACATTTTGAAGAAACGGACCCATTTTTAATGGTATTTTTTGTTAGTAATGGGACCCATGTTTATGGATTGGTTGTGACAAAGTCACCCATTAGAGCGGCACACCCACGTATGTCCTAATATGTGAGTACCCCACCCCCTGAGTGTTAATATCGTTCATGTAATGTAAAGAGAGGGAATTTGAGGAATTTCGTATTAACCGCGTAACGATTCAATATGTTGTGAATGATGGGAACAAATTATGGAAATAGAGATAGCTGTTTGTAAATGTTTTACCCTATTTCATCGCTGCTATGCGGGCCGCATTTCATTATCGAGATATTTTTATTATCACTTCTTCAATGCTCCGCGGGTTGGCCACCCGTGGTTTAGAATCACTTTAAATGAGAATGTTAAGTTTGTGTAAAGATTAAGTGTAATATTATACAATAATGTGTATGCTTTCTCTTTCTTTGTATATTAGTAGTAATGCCCTACCCCCCCCCCTCCCCTCACACACACAAGATTGCTTTTCAGATGCCCCCATAATCAACATTTCCATTCTCAATTATTTTTAATCTTTTCATTTCTAATTATTATAGTTTTACCAACCAGTCGGTAGCAATTTGCCTTTTATTTTCCCTTTGATGAATTATTAAACACAAGAACTCCCTTATATAATTGCTCTTCATTTATCAAAAACAAATAATGCCTTTATCGTAATTTGCAGGGATTATGGTGACAATTTGGAAATTATTATAAAAATCGCACACTAACAATAATGATTAAATTTGCTGATTTTTTGTGTGTAAACTATGCTTTCAATAAAGTTTGATTTACTAATTCAAAGAAATATTGTCTTTTAGTCATTGTTTTTGTTTTGTTGATGAAATACCTTTATGTTGTAATATTAACAGTAAAAAACAAATACATGTTGTGCGTAAAGGGCAAGTCCACTCCCCCCAAAATAACTTACTTTTAATAGAAGCCAAAAATTCAGACAAACCAATCAAAAAAAGTTTGAGCAAAATAGGATAACTACTTAAAAAGTTATGAATTTGTAATAACATGAACAACTTTGAAAATCACTAGACAAATTGGCAACTCACTCATGAGTTTGTGACGTCATTGCCTCACTATCCACTAATTGTTTTCTTCATATTGATAATAACAATTTCCAATAAAACCCCTAAAAATCCAAGTTCTATTAATAATAATATGCCCTATGTTTTTGTGTGGATGCACTAATATAGAGTAATTTTTTAAATTCATGAATGAAGGGAATTTTGATCAACTATTTATATAAAAATCAAAGATTATGAATATACAATATTCAGAAAATACTATAAAATCTACTAAGTTGATAAAATATCTTGTCAGTGAAATGTCATGCACGCAATATGATACAGATCATATACCCTGGGCTAAGGACGTTACAAACTGATAACCAAATTGGCAATTTGTGTAGTGATTTTTCAAAATTCCACAGTTTTTCATACTCGAAAAGAAAAGAAAAAATTCCTTATTATATATCCGCATTTACTCAAATTTGTTTTGCTCCATAGTCTCTTGTTTTCTGCATCTATTAAAGGAAAATTATTTTTGGAGTGGACTTAGTCTTTAATACCTTATCTCTCTCTATCTCTCCCTACCTTCTCTTCTCCCCCTTTCTCTCTCTCTCTCTCTCTCTCGCTCTCTCTCTCTTGAACGTATACTGAATTACATAAATGTCATTTAGAACCCTCCTTTAAAAAAAGCCCCACTGCACTACTTATAGCTACTTGCGCCCTCTATATAGCCAACAATACCTAATTGGTGCATGTTTGTCCCCCATGATCCTCTTTTTCTAATGTGAACTGAGATTTGATGAGATAACCATCTGCCAGTGACCTATCAGGGAGGTATAATCCCCCTGGCCAAACTAGTACAGACGGGCTTTAACAGGTTGTCATTTTTCAATTTGTTTTTTGAGTAAATTTTTTTTTTTTAATGCCTTCAAATAGCCATTCACTTTTCTCGTCCTTTTGTATTCAATGATGCAGAAATGCGAGTTTATTTCCATAAAAATGATATCATTTATTTATTTCCCTTTTACCTCCGACACATAGTACATGTTTACATATTTATACATTTTTATTCAAATTTTCAAAATTGTATACAAATAAAAAAACATTCACCATAAAATAAAAATACGCAATATACTTATATAACAGATTTGCACCAACAAATGTATTTAAGTTTGTTAAGGAGCCCCTTATTCCGCTTTGCGTTTGTTAAACAGAGTTTAATGCCCTTTTTGGTTCCCAGAAATAATAATCTACCATCACATTGCAGGTATAAAATCGAGAATATCTCTGACTATCTACATTTCCTTTAAAAGAAATAGTGATAATGATAATGAAGCAAAATGTTGGAAACACTTTTCCTGGATTTTGCAACGTCCCTCATAGATCACGCTGAAACTATCCAATGTGTGCAGGCCTACGTTTAGCAACTTGTCCCAGACATTGTTAAATTTGCAGGCACAAACGCTTAAAATTCGTCACATACATATGCATGGGTATTTTTAAACGCCCAAATGCAATTATGGACTCTTGGGTGATGGGGTTGTCTATCTCCATCGACAGTTACAATTTATGGATGAAATGTGAAGTTGATATAATATAATATTGCGTCTTTCAATCACATAAGTGATAAAAACGTAATAATTAATATGTTGTCCCATTAAAGATAGCACCTTACAGATCAAGCGATATTCAAACTTAAATCGAAAACTTAAACTGTCTCTTTTCATAATTAAATTAACCTCTCCTATGTTCCCCTAATTATTTTAATATATATACTTATGAATGTTTACATGGGATATCCGGGGCAACTAAGAACTATCAATTGCACGTAATACAATGTAGTTTCTATTTCATGTTTAAAGGCCCACTGTACTACTCGTAACTACTTGCTCCCTCTATATAAAAAACAATGCATAATCGGTGACCATTGGTCCCCCATGATACTTTTTTTCTTATGTTAATTGAGAGCCGAGTTGATAAAATAGCAACCTGTCAGTGACCTTCCTGGGTGGTCTAATCCCTCCTAGCCAAACTAGTACAGACGGCCTTGAAGTGTTTCCATTCGTAGTTGTTTGGAATGACATATTTCCCCCCAAATCATGGAAGAGCCAACGGAATGGCCAGATGCCTCATTTTCCATTTTTTCTTTCTTTCGGAGGCCCGTTTCTTGCAAAATGGCTATGCTCACTTTTACATGTACGCTATAATAATTTCAATTGCATATCAGCTTAAAGATGATTTATTTATGTTAATATTGGTGTAGGAAAGATAATTTCATATTGAATATCAGTTTTCAAATCTTAATTTACAATATACCGTAGTGCCCGCTTTCTTTCCCTTTTCTTCTTCCGAGTGTAGCGCTTTCTCGTGCAGAGGGCTAGATTCAATAACATTGCAATTTAATTATTTTCTGAAAGACCTTGGCAATTTAACAAGTGAGTACAACAAATTAACAATAAGAGAAAAAGGGGTACAATGACGTCACTAATTAACTTCAGAACATGGACAGTTTTATCGAAGATTATTCTTTTAAAGAGCTTAAAAATCGGCGAAAATAACATAACAGGGGCAATAGCATACTGTTATCATATACAATATGTCCAATAAAATATATTATTGCAATTTGTATAAGTTGTAATGCAAAAAAAAATGTTTAGTATTGTCGCTCATCTCAGTTACTGTAATAAATGGTTCAACTGTAATAAATATTACATGTCTTTTCTCCTCCTTAAATGATTTTCTCTCAAAAATTATTATTAAAGGCATATCGATAAATGAAAACCGTAATACTTGTTATATTGTTCATTACTGTCGCTCATCTCAGTTACTGTCTTTAAAAGAATATTTTTGAGAGAAAAAAAAAGTATTCTTTTTAGGAGGAGAAAACAAGGTTGTAATATATATATTACAGTTTCGCCTAATGATTCGAGGTAGAGAAAAACGATCCTTTTCACCTTGATTTCATTTTGTACACACATTCAATTAGAAGAAAAGGCGCCTTCCACTTTGTTATTAAAAAAAAAGCATCCCTAAAATTCCAGCGTTGGCAGATTGATTTCTGATCAGAATATTTCGAGAAGAGCGACTAAGGGGCAGTTTTCAATAATTTTCGTATATCTAACTGAAATCATTTAGGCATTACCGTCAACCTTAAGTGCTTTATGGTTTGCACGTTTCAATATGCAACTGCCTTGGCGGATAGATTTCTTGGAAAGTTTTTTTTTCGGTCGTGATATTATTCATTCAGATCAAACAAGCACTCTAGCCACAAAACACTTTTAATCTAAGGCTCGATTTTCAACACCATGTTAGCACGGGGGCATGATACATTTTTTAGTTCAACATTTTCACTAATTAAGAATAAATATCAAGAAAGACACTTTCAGCGTGGTTTAAAAACTTATTTACCATTCCTGTTTCATAATAAACACCGTAGATAGTTATTAGTTCAACATTTCACTAAGAGTATGGAGGAAGGCACTTGTGGCGTGGTATTAAAACTTATAATCCCCCTTTTAAAACCCAACCACCGCATAAAATAGTCCCGCGGACCAGTCGAGTTAAACAGGTGACGAATCAACACGTATACACTAGAGCAATAAAATCGTTCCAACGAGAAAGAACCTTCTATAGCCGCCTGAAACTGCATATTGACATATGATTGAAATCATGCATCTTCGCTCGTGAGCACGCGATGCAGAGACAAATTCAATACAAGGACATGTTCAATACCGTAATGCACATCCGGTAGAAATAATGATCACACTATGAACATGACGGACAAAGAAAGAGGACAAAATATACAGTTCCTCATTCTACCCTCAACAATTGCTGTGGTAGATAAAGGAACATCCCTTCACTGCTATTGTGTAAAAATGTGTAGAACAGGTATCAAATGCATATTCACCTGTTCTACACATTTTTACATAATAGCAGTGAAGGGATGTTCCTTTGTCTACCACAGTAATTGTTGGGGGTAGAATGAGGAACTGTATATTTTGTCCTCTTTCTTTGTCCGTAATATTCATTGTGACAGTGCCATTAGTGTTCGCACATGACAAAATATGATGGACATGATAATGCTAATGGCATTATTGAAAATGACTTAGATTCAATTTTTTCGAATGTCTTTGCGGTCATATTGTATGCAAATCACGCTTTGGATTTATTGGAATTAAAAAGGTAATTAAAGTTCCCAAAAACACACACCAACAAAACTGGATAATATAGGGCAACAACAACTACAAACAAACGATATGATGGCATTTTCACTTGCTGTTTGCGATCGTATACACAGACACGACAAACCAACGTTTGCTACCAGCCGTTTCATCTATATAGACTCCCGATGTCGCACTCATTTTTCTCGAAGTCGACGCCGGCAGGCTTAACTACTCTTGTACAAATCGATGTCATCTACGATCTGTTTCGCAAAATGAAAATGGAGAGAAGTAGATATAAAATATTTGTAAAAAGAACGTTAGTGTACAAATATGTTTGTGAGGAGAAATAAAAAGATCGATGTCATCTACGATCAGTTTCGCAAAATGAAAATGGAGAGAAGTAGATATGAAATATTTCAAAAAAGAACGTTAGTGTACAAATATTTGTATCAAACATTGATATTTTGTTCTAAGTTTTAATTGACGAAAAGAAGGATAAATAATTAAAAAAATTATAGACGTAATATTCTAGTCTCTTTGGTGTGTTTTGTTTCTTAATAATTTTTATCAAGGATTTGTCTCATTTAACGTGCATGGGTGTGATGGAATAGGAAATAGTGGTTAGCAACACACATTTATATCATCATCCAATTTCCGTCATCTTTCTTTCTCTCACTTTTTCATATATTTATTTTCGATGAGGGTTCAGGGGAACAGGAGGGGGGGGGGCGGTCCCCTCAATAAAATACGTATCTAATGGAATGAGACTCATATACCACATTGCATTTACGAAATTGAGGTTTCTGAGGAGAGGGCGGCCGGAAGCAATATGAAAAAGAAGAAAAAAATGACCTTCCACCGCATAAGCTAAAAACTAGAATAACATACACACACCCATGCGCACGCACACACACAAATATATTTAGAGAGAGAGAGAGATGGATATGTATTTTACATGCTTTTTTTGTAAAGGTATTGCTCGCTTGTATCAGAAACAAGTCATCATAAAACATTTGTTTCATACTTAAAAATAACCTCAACACCATTTCACTATCTATTTTAATTCGATGCTTTAACAAAAAATCTTATTGAACCTTATTATGACATTTCATAGCAGGAAATATAAGTTTTGTTTTGTTGTTATCATTTCATCATCATTATCAATATATTATCAATCATCAATTATGATTTCGTTTTGTTTATTCGACATTGATAATGATAATTGGCCTAATGGCATTAATTTTGTTAATGTTTTTTTTTGTTAATCGTACAAATAATTATATTACTATCACTAAATTGGCAAAAGTAAACGATGACAAATTAAAGAATTACAATAATATTTTAAGACGGGCAGCAGTGTTCCAAACAATCCTAAAGACGTTTTAAATAGTTTGCACAAGTTACACAGACCAAATTCTTCTAAGAGCACGTTTAATTTAGACATTCATAGATACCTTTACTGTTTAATACATAACTTCAGCGCGGAGACATGCAGTTATTCAACACAAATATTTCACTTTCTTACCCATTCTTCTGGTAACTGAGAGCGATTTAAACAAAACAAAACAGTTTTGATAATTAGGTTTTCCTTTTAATATGTTTAACAAGAACGGCAGAAGCTATTAAGCAAATAACTACCGTTGGTGAAGGTGATGGAACAAACCGTCATTTTAGAGCAACAAGTCATCTATTAACAGCTAGCAAACGGTGTTCGATACGTACAGTGCATGCAGTACTTACAAACGTATACAAGAAAGTGCGTTGCACTGTGTAGATAGTACTACTATCTACACAGTGCAACGAACTTTTCTTCTCCCATCAATAAGGGTCGAATTATCTTTCATCATGTGATTTACTTTTGTCCAATCGTAGAGCAAGATTCTTAGTATGTGGAATATAATATTTAATATATTTACGCACCTCATACATCGGAGAGATGGGAACAAAATGCAAATGATATAAACAAAAAGACGACGACATTGTGGAAGCAATCGTAATTTGAAGAGGGAGGGAATACGAATAAGTAATAAAGACAGCAGTGTATGAATCTTGAAAAAGTTAAAATACTTGTTAGAAAATGGGTTATATAAAAAGGGATATAATTAGAAGGAAAAAATGTAGTTTAATATGTAGACTAGCTATATAACAAAATGAGAAAAAAATCTCAATACAGAACGAAAAAGAAAATGATGGAGATGAAAACATCAACTGCGTTTACTGAATTAAAGAGTTGCTATATTGCGGGGAAAAGAATTAAACCCCCAAAATGAGGAAAAGACAAAAAGAAATATTGTGGAAAAGCAATGAAACAATTCCTCACCTCTGATCTCTCCGGACAACAGCACGCTATACAGAATATGAAGAGGCAGAAAAAGATGAAAATGAAGGCGAAGATACTAATTATCCCGAAAGGAGCCATAATTAATAACCATTCATCGTAATCTATCGGTTCCCGCGTGGGAGCATAGACAGTCGCATTCCCAGTTGAATTCCCAGTTGTATAGTACCCTGTAGTCATAATTGATGTCGAGTCGCTCGTGTTAACTGTACTGTTGCCATCGGGGGTAGTAGATACGCCATCCGTGCTATTGTCTGAAGTCATGTTTGATGACGTCATATTGGCACCACCTGCGTCCATTGTCTCATTGGATGTAGAGTTACTGCTGGCAGTTGCGTTTGTTGATGTGGTTTCATTAGCTGATGACGTCATGTTTGATGACGTCATATTGGAACCACCAGCGTCCATTGTCCCATTGGATGTAGAGTTACTGCTGGCGGTTGCGTTTGTTGATGTGGTTTCATTAGCTGATGCCGTCATGTTTGATGACGTCATATTGGAACCACCAGCGTCCATTGTCCCATTGGATGTAGAGTTACTGCTGGCGGTTGCGTTTGTTGATGTGGTTTCATTTGCTGATGACGTCATGTTTGATGACGTCATATTGGAACCACCAGCGCTCTGGGCATCTGTCACTGGCAATGGAGTTGCAGTCACGGCGATAGAAGTGGTCATATTCATGGATGTCTGCGCTGCCGGGATCTCAAGGAAATAACCGCCTTCGTAGAGCGGCCACGCTGGGACTCCTACTGTAGCCATTGAGCAGACGATGGTGAGGAGAGCCAAGATGGCGAGACCGCGTGTACTCTGTATAATAATGATAATAATAATAATAATAATAATCTTTTAAAGTCCACTCCAAATGTTATTAAGTTAAACAGAAAATGGAAATTCTTTTTGCCCAATTATTGATCGTGAGCCCAGCAGCCACTGAGCAGCGCCAGATCGACGTTGCTCTATCCCCTATTGTTGAACGCCAAACAAGGTAGCAGCAACTCCCGTCTTTTGACGTCTTTTGGTATGACGCGGCCGGGGTTCGAACCCACGACCTCCCGGTTGTATAAAGATCATGATAGAGAGCGTAAGGCAAATTACAAAAATAACGTGTTTCTCGTCCGGAAGGAAGAGGTAGGGTATTACTTTTTTACGATTTGTTTTCTTCCAAGATGACTGCCAGGCTAATCATAACATCAAGAGAAGAACACCATAAAGGTTTCTGGCTTAATTAGCGCAATGTGTGAATTTATATTTGAATCAAGGATTCCTGCGTAACTGTCTAAAATAAGCATGTTATCCCTTTTAAATATAGGCCTACACCTGTACTTAGGCTTGTACGTTACATTAAGCCTAAACCAAATTTAAAAATGAGTTTTTCATAATTATAATCATCGACCATTAAGGAATTATATAAATCTGGACGTGGTTTAATTTGTGAAATGAATTGTTGATTTCAGATGAGTATAAAGAAATCGTCCGGTAAGTTTATGACAAAAATATAAGAAAAAAGAGCGCAACAGGTGAGAGAAGGATCAAGGGAAAAGAAAGAAAGAAAGAAAGGGCAATTAAGAAATTGGAGAGCTGTTGACAAGGCATAACGGGATAAATACTTACGCAGTCGTCATCACTCATCGTTTTAGCGATGTATATAGCAGCTAATCCTGTTCCCAGTGCCTAAAATCAAGAATAATACATTTATATTACACTGGATGATTCCATTTTGAAGGTCAGTAACGACTACATTATTCATAGCCCTTGTAAATTGAATGTGTTGTTATGTGTCTTTGTTCGTAACTCAAGAAAGATAGATTGACTGGTTCAATAAGGGCCTTTGGTGGATACTTTTAGATGTAAGCTTTAATATATCACATTCTCAATAAACATAAATCGGGGCAAATTAATTTTTAAAAAACGTCAAGAGTTACAAAACTTGGCAACGATACGAATTTGTTTAGTAACTGTATTTACAATATGAATGTGGAGCAACAGTTTATGAAATGCTGAAACGGATGGCTCAAGACCGAGGTACCTGGAGAGATATTTGATGTAGAATTCTGTTTGAGTCACTGAACCTGTCATACTGAAAGATCACCACTGATGATGATGTACAACATATATATATATATATATATATATAACAAAAGTAATGCATTTTGAAAAGCAATTAATACATTTGAAACGAAAATCTTTGAGACTTCAATTTGCTATTACCGGTTCCAATTTCTTTGAAGACAAAAACATCAATTATAATAATAATAATAATAATAATAATAACAATATTTATAAAGTTTAACATATCCATCTCTAGATATACACATGGCGCATACAAATAATTCAATTTAATATTCAACATACTTAAGATTAAAGAAATATTAAAATGTAACTTACATTAGATCACACAACTTCATGGTGCCATGATACATAAACTGTGACACAGTATATGCTTTAAATATCATGTGAGGTCTAAGCCTAATTTTAAAAGTAGAAAGAGTGTTTGCCGTCTGAATAGAGAGGGGTAACTTATTCCACAAGGAAAGAGCTGCTGATGCACTTGCTCTATCCCCCCCAATTTCCTTTGGTAGACCTACGTATTTAGTTAAGCCTAACAATGTGTGATGAACGTAAAAAGGGACCCGTTTCACAAAACCCTTTTTCAATGACAAATGACAAAAATATCAGTAACATATCTGCTAATAATAATATATATAATAATAATATTCCGTTTTGTATATAGCGCTCTATACATCGATCCAACGATGTGTCTAAGCGCTTTACAGATATACTATTACCCCGGTCATCGGATTCAGGCTTACCCGCACACAACATAGGCCTATACACATTTTCCACTCACTGGAAGCAATAATAGGAGCAAGGCTTTCAGTAGCTTATAACAACAACTGTCACTTGTCACTGATGACAAGTTTTGTGAAACGTCCCCCAGAACGAACAAATAATAGGGACTTTTAGATTCAGCACGACGAGAACGCGGACTGCCCCTTGTGATGTGACGTCACTGCCAGTGCCTTAAAAGGACGTCACATTAGTCCGGCAGCCAAACCCGGATTTGGGGCCTAACCTTGTTTTGGTGAAATAAGTTTTTTTTTTAATGGATTCTGATTGTCTAGATATCCACTGTGAACAAGCAAAAAACTGGAGCTCTGTCAGCCTTGAGCAATTTGAGATATAAGCAAAAACAAAATGGCCGCCAAAATGGCGTTTTTTGCTCTAAAAATTGTGAAAATGTATACTTTGTCATGTTTTATTGCTGCATTTAGAACCCTTTTCTGATTTTATTTACCAGATATGATATATTTGATACATATTTTGATAATTCTTAATATTATTTTAGATGGCAGAGCAATTTATGCATTATTTATACAGGGTGATTCATAAAAAAAGCGTAGACTTTAAGAGATTGGCTGTTTGCGATTTCTTTGTCATGTTTTATTGCTGCATTGAGAACCCTTTTCTGATTTTCTTTACCAGATATGATATATATGATACATATTTTGATAATTATTAATATTACTTTAGATGGCAGAGCAATTTATACATTATTCATACAGGGTGATTCATAAAAAAGTGTACAAGCGATTGGCTGTTTGCGATATCTACTTCGATAACAAGCCATCGATGTATACACACTCTGGCAACATATTTTGTGATGTATATAAGCTGCATTTTAATTGAAGCTAATTGATGTAGCCTATCATCATATCGCCTTTAGTAATTTGTGATTATAAGGAAAAGCAAAATGGCCGCCAAAATGGCGTTTTCTGCTCTAAGAATATGTGAAAATGTATACTTTGTCATATTTTATTGCTGCATTAAGAACCTTTTTCTGATTTTGTTTTACCAGATATGATATATATATATATATATGATATATATTTTGATAATTCTAAACGTGGTTTTAGATTGCAGAGCAATTTATACATTTATACAGGGTGATTCATAAAAAGGTGTACATTTCTACTTCGATAACAAGCAATCAATGTATACACATATACACTGCATTTTAATTAAAGCTAATTCATGTAGCCTATCATCTCAAAGCACATGTAATTGTAGAGATACCCTGTTGAACATACATACATATATGATGAACTGCTACGATTCAAGAAGTCTGCAGCTGTAGAGGCAGGGGAAAACACTGAACTGACAGCATTATCAAGTGCTGAAGATGGTCTTGTTCAGATCGTAGTTGACAACTTTAATGCAGATGTTTCATCTCAGAACGGTAAATTGTCAACATATTCCCTTGCAGTTCTCATGACCCAGCCAGATACAAGCATGCACCATGATGATCAGCAAGAGATTTCACAACTGAAGAAGGCTGAGATGTCTAGAGATGTTGACTACAAGCTTGACATCATGAGATACAATGGTCCAAGGAAAGCAGATATGCCACCTGTCAAGAACCAAGTTCCACCACTTAGTGTTCTCGCTCATATGGTTTCTCGACAGAGACCTAATGGGTGTGACCTCAGGTTCTTGACACATGTTGTGCAGCGTGATAACTGTCCTGAATTCAATGGATATAATACGCATTTGTGTCGCAATCAAGGAGAAGCCACACAACCCCAAACTAAAGCATTGTTTCATTGATTGATATGCCACCAGCACATCCAGACACAACAATGACAGCCATGAGCAAATCTCAGCAGTTAAACAGAGAAAACTGGTCAATGTTTCACTGTCTTCACCCGCAGATCAACAACTGTACAGGGTTGCAGTAGAGGTACACCCTGATCAAACTAGTACTGATAATGATGCTCTATATACGGGCTATACGAGAAGGTGATTGGCCACTACACCTGGAGACAGTGAAGCTTATGATGCCCAACTTCTTTGCGTTGGGACATCTAAACTATACGCGATATGGGTTATTCTACCTTCGACGCATGGAAGCCCTAAGGGTCTCATGTGATGAGACACACTCAAGGCTTATGGAATGCGGAATGGAGCGACATGTTCATCGAGACAACATTCATGCGATATTGGCATGGTAAAGCTGGTGTGATTGGCATCACCCTAAAGCAAGAAACTCTCAAGACCTGGGCCCTTAGCTTGCACATATGTATCAGACTTGTGGAAGACGTTTTAACACTGAGAGACAAGTCGGCTAGTTCTAAAACAGTGCACAAAGAAGAGACTCCAGCAAGGATATCTGCAGACCAAGGTGACAGAGACTGGTTGCGCAGAAAACTGGATGTGAGCGTCAATCCAATGGACCCAAAGAAGCACCCAGCGAACATTGTCAATGTGGTCAATGGACAAATCGCTCCTGAATCAGTGAATGTGGACAGAGCAGTTGAAACTGGTGCTCAGCAAATGGATGAGTTTGAACGGAAATTGCCTGGAGGTTTCTACGACACAATTTCGAAGAAAGTTCAAACCATGGCTTTCATGAAGAAATAAATTGGCGTAGGCGATTCCAAGGTATACGATACCAAGTTGATATACTCTCGCGTGATAGGTCTACAAGCAAGTTCCAGAGATGTTGAATTTCATGATGTAATATCATGCGAGCTGTCGCCAGTTCTTACAGCTCTGTTTGATGAGTCTGGAGATATGGATATCCCGAAGTCCAAGGCCGATTTGAAGAACCAGAGACAAAGGTTGAAGTATCAGCTAGACACGCGAGACTTGAAGAAACGTGTAGAGTGATCAATGGCTGTGCTCTCCTTTGGATTCATCATCACCAACACGAGAACCAACAGTGGTGGACTTTGTATCGAAATTCAAAGGCAAGATTGAAGAGAGACTAAAATCCGGTGATGTGTATTTGGTCTTTGACAGGTACAATGATTACAGCACCAAGTGTGCAACCAGAATATCGAGAGGCAATGATGGTTGCAGAGTTTTCCAACTGAGTCCAACTTCACCTCTTCCGTCTCAGAAACTGACTCTGACAGTCACAGAGAACAAGAAACAGTTGATTAACATCATTTGTCATCATCTGCAAAGCGATGCAGGTTTCATCATAAAACACAAGCAAGATGGCACTCCTGTTCAACTAGGTCCAGGTGGTGTTCCAATCCAACGTCATGATATGGCCACATTTCATGAGGAGGCTGATGTGATTATTGTGCAGCAGGCTATCATGCTTGCAGATGAAGGACGATCCATCAGGGTGCCTGCAGACGACACAGATTTCTATGCTCTTCTGCTTCATTTCTACCAAAATCAAGGCCTTCAGTCACCCTAGAAAATGGAGTCGCCCATTAGAGACAGATCTGTAATCGATATACATGCCACAGTGGACAGACACAGAGACATCATCCCTTCTATGCTAGCAGGTCACCCACTGACATGTTGTGATACTGTTGGTGCACATTTTGGAGTTGGCAAAGGAACTTTGCTAAAAGTGCTGCGGCAGAAAAATGGGTTCCCATTGCCATCGATTGGAGACATACATGCAGATATGGCCGATGTGATGATGCTATGGACAACCCAATGCTACGACACTGTCAAATGCCCGACTGAATGTGTGGACTAGACGGTTCGGGAAAGCAGGAGCTACCAACACTCCAAATCTTGCTGCAATGCCACCAACAACCGAAGCTTTCAAAGATAATGTTAAGCGTGCCCATCTTCAAACATGGATTTGGAAAAGTGCTTAATTGGAAATGAATCCATCAACATTGGATCCCACTGCATTTGGTTACATGAAAGACAAGGTAACAAAGACACTCATCCCGGTAACCACTCCTCCAAATGTGAAATTTGCACCTGCAAACATATACGTTGCAATTGTGCAAGTGACAACCCATGCAAATCAACAGGATGTGGATGCAAAAGCCAAATTAGCGTGCACAATGTTCTGTGCATGTCGTGCATCCGTGCGATGTCTAAATGTATATATTATCATTTTGGTGGTCATTTTGTTTTTTCCCATTATCTAAATTAGTCATTATTGACAAATGAGTATGACATAATTATTTGGTACACTTAGGTATTCTAGGAATTGAAAACATAAGATAAAAAGAAATGAGTATAATACTATTATACTGTGATTCTAAGCTTAACAGCTGGAATTTATCCGCCATTTTGAATATGCAAATTATCAACAATTACAATGGAAAATATGCTAATTATGTCATCTATGGTCATCTATGTTCATGTATGGTCATCAGTAATGTGTTGACAATGGTCTTCGTGAATTATAAGCACACCATTCTGCCAATATTTTGTAAGGTATTATGAAATAATTCAAATTTGACTGAAAATAGGCTATTTTGGCGGCCATTTTGTTTTTGGCCATATCTTAAATTGCTCAACACTGACAAAGCTCCAGTTTTCTGTTTGGTCATCTGCAATGCCTAAGGAAACAGAATCCATCAAGAAAAAAACTTATTTCAACAAAACGAGGTGTAGCTCAGTGGCTGCCGGACTACATTGCCTTAATATAAAAGGGCAGCCCACGTTCTCGTCGTGCAGAATCCTAAAAGTTAATAATGTTACACTAACCACGATCCCGGTGGTGACCACTAGGTAGGCATACAGGATGTACTCGGGGAAGACATCGGGGAGGGATATGACATCGAAGTAGAGGTCGGAAAGGAATCCGATAGCGATGCCGGCGAGGGCGAACACGGTCCCGAAGAGGAAGAGGAGGGCTCCGAAGACCTTGAGCGACCGGAGTCTGCATCCGAGCGAGTCGAAGCTACAGCAGCGGCAGCATGGTTTACACATGGTGAATGTATGCTGATGATTGAAATTAAAAATATGAAATTATTGAAAATATTTACTATATGTTTCTTATCTCATTTTTATGCTTCGTACATATTTATTGTATGATATAATTAAACATGATTTTCTATTCAATTACTTGTGTAAACATTTTATTCATTGTATCTGTTATTGTTCGAATTTTTGTATCCTGAATTTGAATGATGGTGATGGTGGTGGTGGTGATGATGTTGTTGACGATGGTGATGTTGATGGTGGTGGTGATGATGATTTTGGCGATAGTGGAAGTGATGATGTTGATGATTGGGGCGCCGTGGCGCGATCTTGATGATGATGATGATGATATATGACGATGATGATAATAGCACACTTGCACATAGGACGAATGGTGGATGAATGGGGATGACTGGAGTAAGAGGTGGAAAAAACCCCACAATGACATCATTATCATCATCCTCATAAATGACGGTATCAAGAATAACAATTATATAATGATGGTAATATATATGGTAATGATAATGATAAACAGTGATTAAGATGCAATGACAGCACTTGCACAGGATGACCATGACGATGACCTCGTAGGAAAGGAAGTCATACATATAAAATAATGAAAACATTCTTAATGTTAGGAGCAACGTCGATCTGGCGCTGCTCAGTGGCTGCCGGGCTCACGATCAATTGGGCAAAAAGAATTTCCGTTTCGGAAATAAATAAATATGAAATATTAAAAAAGGATGGGGATTACTCATTAAGGGCTCTTGGTTCCATATACTTATTTAGATTACGTTTGAAATCTATAACAGATAACTCACGTTTAAGTTCTGGTGAGATTGAGTGCATTTCGCACCGAAATAGCTGAAACTCTTTTTTTTAAAACATGTTTTTAATTTAGGTAGTACAAAATTATTAATTGAATTTCTCATATTATAATTACATTTTTTTAGTTCAAATAAATCTAGCAAGTAATTAGGACAATTATGATTAGCAATTGTATACATCATGTAAAGGGCATGTTTATCTCTTCTTTTTTTCTAAAAAATCAAGCTTTAACTGCTGAAACAGAGAAATTGTAGAATATCTGGCATCAACTTTTAATATAATTCGGAGGGAGGGCTCTATTCTGGAGGACTTGAAGCTTCTTAACAGATTTTTTTCATAATATTTCGCCAAACCACATCACAATAGTCAAGTTTACTTTGTAATATTGTTTTATAAAACATAAGTGCAATATTCTGAGATATATAGTTCCTTATTCTTTTAAATAGGTACAGCTTTTTAATAATATCTTTTCTCAGAAAATTAACATATTCATCCCAATCGAGATTGTGATCTATTATATACCTAAGTATTTGCAATGATCTATTTGATTGAGTTTTACATCATTAATATAAATATTAATCGTTCGATTTTTAACTTTGGTTCTAGATCCAATTAACATGACCTCACATTTTTTAGTATTGAGAAATAATTTGTTTGAATTCAACCATTTTGAAAGACGTATAAGATCAGCATTAATGACATTTTCAATAGTTTCTGTTGTTTTACCAGGGTAATATATGCATGTGTCATCAGCGTACAACGATATACTACATCTTTTAATACAATTTGATAAATCATTAACATATATGGTAAAAAGTAGGGGGACTAAATTGGCCCCCTGTGGAATTCTACAAATTACATTCAGTTCGTCTGATTTTACACCATTTACAACCGTGTACTGTCTTCTATCGGTCAGGTAGTTAAGGAACCATTCACAAGCCCTTTTGTCAAGTCCAATCAATTTCAGCTTATCAAGGAGGATAGCATGGTCAACCGTGTCGAAAGCCTTTTTAAGGTCGATTGTGACCATTCCAACAATGTCCCCTTTATCCAAACTATCCAACCAGTCTTCTGTGACATTCAGAAGGGCAGTCGCCGTTGAGTGCCGAGGCCTAAATCCGGATTGCGTCACGTCAATAATACTATTAGACGATAAATAACTATATAATGGATTAAAAATAAGCTTCTCGAGTATTTTTGCTATTACTGATAGTATAGAGATTGGCCTATAGTTTCCCATTTCTGACCTCTGCCCATTTTTGTGGACAGGTATAACTCTAGAGCATTTTAGCTGGGTTGGTATTTTTCCCGTTTGTATTGTTAAATTGAAAATATACGCTAAGGGTTTTGAGATGATATTAGCTACTGGTTTCAATAGAAGAGAAGGAATATTGTCACTTCCTGACGTTTTCTTAGGGGGTAAATTTTTAAGAACTTCAACTATCTGTTCTTCTGTGATATCTTCGAAGGTACATGTACAATCGTATTTTCTGATATACTCTTCAAATTGCTTATCGACAAAAGATGATTTTTCTTGCAAGGAAGGGCCAACTTCAACAAAGAATGAGTTAAAAGCATTTGCTATGTCTTTTTTGTTACGCAATTCCTTTGAATCCTTTTCAATACACTTAATTTCATCTGTAGACTTAACAGGCATTAGACGCTTAAGGGATTTCCAAACCTTTCCTGAATTTCCAGTACTTTCAACAACACTTTTAGTAATGAATGGTGCTTTTGCCTTTCTTATTTTCATTGTAATCTGGTTCCTAAGCCGTCATAACGTTCTTCTGTGCTCCAAAGGTGCTTCTTGAAACGTGCTGTATAGTATTGCTGCTTTGTAGCAATTTAGCATCAAAAAAGAAGAAGAAATTAAAGAAGAAAAGCCCGCACATAATTATACTTGGTTCACTATGATTAGCTACAAAAACTGCCCGTAAACCAACTCCAAAACGAACCCTACGTGTAGTACATGTATCTAACCCTTATTCTAACTCCAATCTTAATACTGGGCTCCAGAGTTGTAGTCAAGGACTGGTTTCTCGAAACCGTCATATATATCAACCAACTGGAACACTTGTTATGGAATCAACAAACTGGGATCAATTACAGTTTCGAAAAAAAATAAAAGGCACACCCAACGCAAAATTATAAAGGGATTATCCTTACAAAAAAACCCAGACAGTAGTTTACTTCAAAAAACTATACAATAAGTCCTCGTACTTGATCTGTATTCTTGATAACGAGTTCGTACTGAGTCATGCATTCTTTCACCAAATACAAACATTGTTGTTCCATTGGCTACATGAACGGATAATGCCCACATACATGACTAGTATAAGAATAGAGCCACATGGAGCAATGTAGCTAATCGAGCTCTATTGTAAATACTGGAAAACAGGGCAGTGTTTCACGAAACCGTCACAAGAACAAGTTTACCGACATCCCATTGAAGTACGTGTATTAGGTTTAACACGCGTTTCAAAGGGATGTCGGTGAACTTGTACTAACGACGGTTTCATGAAACGGTACCATGGTGGATAATACTATTGTGGGGGATTTAGAGGCGGAGGACGGTTTAAAAGAAAAAATCACCACAAAAGTGAGATCCGTGTTTCGATCTCGTGAAAGAAAATATGGTATGTATTCTACTACAGTCAAACCTGCCATGGTTGCCCACCTGTCAATTAAGGCCACCTGCATAAAGCGATCACACATACTTCCTCCCTCTAGAAGAGCGCGCCAAAGGACATATTGAGAAAGGCCACCTGTTTTAATACTTATTGTATTTCCATTGTGTGGCCTTTATGGACAGGTTTTACTGTATAAATGTTTACCCGACGCTTGGCTTCAAATCAAAATCTCCCAAATCGGACTTTAGAAAGAACGGTGCTTGAAAATCTATAAGTTTCCTTTATAAAACTTGTACTTATAGTCCCATGATCGGGCTTAACTTAATTAAAAGAAAACGGACCGAAATGTAAAACGAAACTATTGATTTGTGCTCATATCCAACCTGCCCCACACATCATGGTGACTATAATGATAACGAAGATGATGTTGATTTAATAATTCAATGCAACAAAACTGTACAACACACTACCAATTTTCCTTCAAATATCCCCTTCCCTGAACATTTTCTAAATACGCCTAGGACACTTCTGATCCATCTCTTGATTTAAATGTTACTCGTAACTATTCTACTGATTTTTCTCGAATTTATCTACATTTTTTCTCTTGCTTCATATAAATTAAATATCTTTTAGTTTTGTTTTCGTTTCATCAAAACAAATTCTTATTAGCAGGACAACACCTGACAAAGTTTTGCAGCGGCGCACGAAACGTCGTGATCTTTTGATCCCTTGTTGACCACACATTGCGAGACAAACGAATGTCACGAGCGATATTATTTTCGATATTCGTTAGTCTTTCATATTTTATTGAAAGCAATACAAATCCACCAGACAGTGTTTACCTTCTGCACTTGTACATTCCTTTGGAAGCCAACGATTTGTTACTATATCAATAATCCTTTGTTTGAATTGTGTACTGAATTCGAAATGTCACGGGTTCATGGTAATTATTGTAACCTTTCCTTGTAGTCTCCAGGGGGGCGTTTCACAAAACTTGTCATCAGTGACAAATGACAGTTGTTGTTATAAGCTACTGAAATCCTTGCTTCTGATTAGTTATCAGCAGATTTGTCACTGATTTTTGTCATTTGTCATTGAAAAAAAGGCTTTGTGACACGGACCCCAGATCTTATTGACTCTATACTCTACTTCAGAGTGTTCAATCAAAACTATTTGAGTTCTCCTTGTCATTTGAAAAGGCTACTGTAAATCCTTTATTGACACACCGCTTAAATTATACCTATACATGTATATATTTACACAGTGTTTTCTTTTATGTAGGCCTACACGTAACAAATGGACGCCCCTCCTTATTTAGTTATGTATTAATTTATATAGTTACCAGGGAAAATACACGGGGCTCGGGGCGAATTAGCCCCCGAAATGCCCAAAAGAGCCCCCGAAAGTCATAAAAGGGCCCCAAAAAATTTGCATAGAGTTTAATGCAAAACAAATTAGAGAGTGCTATTTTCATGCAAGCAAGCTTGAAAAGTAGCCCCCAAAATGACTTAACATATATTTCTGTAGTAGACTTTTCAGCTAGCAAACAATTTCAATACATGAACGGTGATTTATAATAAAAGTAAATGTACGAAAAACATACAAATGCTGGTCTTCCACAATGCTCAGTTTACATTATTGAAAGAAAAGCAAAGACATTAGTTAATTTAAGTTTTGCACGTTATGATAACGTGCACAACTTAAAGTATCTCGTCAAAGTTTACCCAATGACTTTTCTTTGTACACACATAAAAAAGGAGAATATATAAAATAAATGGAATCTCCTCCCATTAAGCAACATAATTTATCAGATATCAAAATAACATTACAAAAAAATACAGGCACAGTCATATCATGGGTACGTACGTACATGGTTATATCCACAATAACACGGTCATGTATTCCTAAATTGTCGTCAAAACTTACCGAATGGCTTTATTTTGTACAGACAAACAAAATAGAAAGATCAAACAAAATAGAAAGATCAAACAAAATAGAAAGATCAAACAAAATAGAAAGATCAAACAAAATAGAAAGATCAAATAAAATGGAACCTAGCTACTTCTCATTGAAAAAAAAAAAAAATGCAGGCACAATCGTACAGTGTATATATCCAGGTTTCCAGTAGGAGTAGGAATCTATTCCTATGTTTTAGCCAAAATTTACCCAATGGCTTTTCTCTGTACCCACATAAAAAACGGAAATATCAAATGAAATTGAAGCCTCTCCTCTTTTAAACAAAAATCGAATATCAAAATAGAAATTAATAAAGAAGAAAAATGCAGGCACAGTTATATCCACATGTGTATTCTTTAATTTTCGTCCGACTCACCAAATGGCTTTTCTTTGTACAGACATACAAAATAGAAAGATCAAATAAAGTGGAACCTCCTCCTCATAACAAGAAAAAGTCGGATATCAAAGTTGGAATCAAGAAAAGGAAGAAAATGCAGGCACAGACATACAGTGTATTTATTGACATGTACCAGTAAGATCGAGTAGGAATCTATTCCTAAAAATTGGTCAAAAATTTAAAATTTACCCGATGGCTTTTCTTTGTAACCACTTAAAAGACAGAAACATCGAATAAAAAGTGGAAAACCCCTCCTCATTAGAATAAAATCAGATGTCAAAATAGGAATCAGAGCCCGGCCCCCAAATCAGTGTTATTAAGGGTACGCATATGCGTGTTCCCAGCACCCCCCTTTCAGTATAAGTCCGGTGTACGAGAGCCGGAGAGTTTGGGGACACGATATGGTATCCCTCCATTCACGGAGGGGGGGGGGGGGGGGGCTATCAGATATCGAAATAGGAATCAGGGAAGAAGAAAAATACAGGCACATGCAGTCATAATAATTATGTACCGAGAGCAGTATAGGCGTACAGACCTTCGACATACTGTAGGTTAATCGTAAGATTATTTCTATGAAACGGCTTAAAAACATTCCTCAGCGATGGTAATAACAAAGAAGATCAGCTAATCCCTTTTATTGCCTCCCAGATTCTGAGAGAGTCTTTTGAACTCTGGCATCTTTGTAAAATGCATGGATGACCCCTGTAATAATCACATTCATGGATCGAAGAAGGTTAGTAGAACCAGGCGCGTACGTAGGGGGGGGGGGGTTAACCCCCCCCCCCTTAGGTAATTTTTATGTATTTAAACCCCCCTAAAAAAACCTAACCCCCCCCCCCCTTTTGATTTTTTTTTTTTTATATTAAAAAAAAAAAATTTAAAAAAAAATATATGCCCCCCGCTTATTCAGCGGTCGGCTGAGTCGTTGCGAAATTTTCGGACCGATTTATAAATGTTAACCTCCCCCCCCCCCCCTTGAAAAAAATCCTGCGTACGGGGCTGAGTAGAACGATACACGTTCCTGCTTGACTTGTGACACGTGAGCGTGGAATGTTAAAGTTAAAACACCCTCCAAACCAGCTCTTTAACTTGCGTTCAAAAACTCACAACTATAATAAAAACTAAGTATTCCCACGTCATCCAGGCTCTCATCTATCGCAAAACGTTTTAAAGTGGCTGCTTCGAAAGCACTATTCCACTTTACATCAGAAGAGCTGTCTTGCCACTTGCTTTTTAACAAATCCATCCATTCATTCACTACTTCCCTCGGTGATATAAAACGTATTCCAATTTCTTCAAATACGACTTTTTAAGCACTACATGATTTTTATCATACTGTATACTCGGCCTGATTGGGGTGTGCAGGTGGACCGATACACCGGGGTCTCCCCCTACTATATACGAATAGTGCAGTGGGTTCTTAACGTGCAAGTGTGGTGACTTTCCTGTATGAGAATAAATTGTCATTGTCATTGTACGCGGGGCCTCCATTTAACGTCATATCCGAGAGACGGAGTGTCTTCCACTACTTAACCTGCGTCTATGAAACAAGGGGAGGGGCACGTTAACATAAAACGCAGGCTTCAGTCACCCACCTGCGTGGGATTCGAACCCGAGATCTTTGGTCCGATAGGCAGACATTTACCGACTGAGCCAACCGCAACTCCTTGATCGAAATATACCACAAACTTGCAAAGATCACGAATCCAAATAATGTATAACACAAGTAAACTTACCAACTCCCCTGGCTTAACACTTATGTACTTCCAACAGTTGTCTGATGGTTAGCGGCGTTAATTCTCCTTGTCAACATAAATCACCAGGTAATGAAATTATGATATAATGCAGTAATGAGTTTCCGATTGCGTTCAAATCAGATCCGGGAAAAGCGAAAGCGAGAGATCAGGAAAGTTTTGAGGTACCGGTACTGCGTTCGAAGCGTATTCAATCATGTACTCCCATGTACTGCGTACGACTTGCATGCACCGTAGTGAATCTTATTTTCCCCCGCAATGGGGATCGGAAAGAAGAGAAAAATCTCGGCAGCCGACATTCTTTTGTAATTCTGCCTCCAGCCGTATTACACACACAGAGAAGGTATTACAACACGGGTTAGCACACACAAGCAATACATACACACAAATCGTCTTTACGCTGGGATGTATGTGTATTACTTTTATCCAATATCCATTCAGTTCCATTGAAGCGTGTTTACTTGTTATTGTGACGCCACAAATCTCAATTGAGACGAAAAAGCATTTACACTAAATAGGCCGCACCCTCTACTTCATATTATATCACACAATGGTTACGAGTATTTTGAAGGAGAAATTTACAGTTGTTAGTATTATTTGTATATTTAAAGGGATTGGCCTAAAAAATATCGGTTCCATTCACGGCCGGTGTTTATGCATGACGTCACAGTCCATTTTACATATTGACCAAGAAGAGAATAAACTGTCTTGTATTTTCCCATCTGTTTCTTTCCTTCATTCGTGTACTCCTCCTTTATAATTTTGTCTTTCTTTCCTCTCTACATCTCATTTCCTGTCTGTCAGGGCCGGTTTCCACCCCCCCCCTCTCTCTCTCTCTCTCTCTCTCTCATAGGTGTTACCTGTCCGTATCATCAGTGTGATTGACGTATAACAATGGTGATTTAAACCCTGTTTCTATATAGCCATTCCAGGGGGGCGTTTCATGAAACAATTAGTCGGTGGTTTTCACCGACTAATATTATGTTCACCGACAATTTAGTCAGCGCTGACTAAATTTGACCAATCACAGGCCTGGAAAATAGTCGGTGACAAAAGAATTGTCGGTGAACATGATATTAGTCGGTGAAAACCACCGACTAATTATTTCACGAATCAAGTAACAGTTTAATACATAGTTATATCCAGAGTTATCATGTGTTTGGTTAAGTTACCAGATGAGTTGAATATCTTCTCACAATATTTGCACTTGAAAGGGTTTCTCTCCAGCGTGCGTTCTTTTTTTTTTTTTTTCTTTTTTTTTTTCCTTTTTTTTTGGGGGGGGGGGGGGGCCGCCCAAGGGGGGGGGGTTGCAACCCCCCCAACCCCCCCTCTAGATCCGCTTCTGCACTGACATCATGTTAATGTATAATACACGTATTAAATGGATTGCACTGATGACTTATATTGTAATTATAATTACAATAAGTGTGTGTTTGTGTGTGTATGACTGTGAGAGAGTGAATATGTGTTAGTAAATTATTTCTCTTTCCCCTCTTTTATTGAATAATCAATAATTGAAATAATGTACGTAGTTATTTTGAGAAAAAAATGACAATCACTGAACCCGGACTTTCTTCTCGCCGAAAATGTAATGATTTATTTTTTCCTTGTTAATGATTGTCTTCTCTGTTTGTGTTATTTTCACATTATACATTGATATTATTTTGTAAACTTTGTTATGTTTGTTTATATTTCTAAATTGCAAATAAAAGTGTTGAATAAAGTGAACATGACCTTGAACTTGTTTCCCTAGTTCCGATCTGATGTCGGTCTGTCTGTTGTGTCTGGGAGTATTGAATTGACCCCTGTTCAATCGTTTCTATTGTGATGAAAGCCACGCCCTTGCATTGTTTCGCTCATGCCCTATCCTCTCGTCATCCCTTAAAGAGAAGGTTGAGTTCTGAGAAGAGGTGAAAAATAATTTGTGAGCGTTATCATTCTTATAATGCAAGTGTGGAAGAACATCAGATAAGACATGTTCCCTGAAAAGCATGGCTCTTCAAATGCCTTCATATTCTAAATATGTCATGTACATCGTAAAACTCGGGGGTAGGTTTTTTACGCCACGTGTTCGTGTAGTCCCATATACATCTTTTCGTGTACAGTGTTTGTAACTTTATCAAGACTTGGCCAATTTCTTATCATTTTGATGATTCCAGAACCTTGCAATACACACAAATTCTTATATGCTAGATGATAAATCTTTTCTGGTCGATTCCACACCGTTTCTTTCACAATGCAATCGCATGACCAGAACTCAACTTCATCTTTAACAGCTGAGGCATGGTCAACATGACTCCTTCTATTTAAAGCGGAAGTTTTGTAGAATGACTAATAGAGTAGTGATCTAATTATATAAAACATTCAATCTTTCTCTTAAAGGTATATACCAGTTTTGGAAACGCCCCCCTCTCAAAAACATGAAATGGAAGCTCTTATTACCAATCATGTGAAAGAATATGTTTTTACTAGTACGTGATGATATAAATTTTGCCGGGAAACCGCCTACTAATTGTTATATTTGGTAAATTATCATATCTATCCGGGCTGGATAGATATCGCGTAGTCCCATATACATCTTTCTGTGTACAGTGCTTGTAACTTTACCAAATTCCTTATCATTTTGATGATTCCAGAACCTTGCAGTACACACCAATACTTATATGCTACATGATCAACCTTTTCTGATCGATTCCACAACGTTTCTTTCATAATGCAATCGCATGACCAGAACTAGTCTATATACCTTTAAGCGGGTTGACATGGTTTCGTTTTCCTTTCAACGGAGACAGCTAGAATATTAGCAAGCTTCTGTCGTTCAGTCTTATTTTGTTTTAAGTGTTTATTTTTTTTAATAAATGAAATCATTCTTAATCATTACGAGTATTACGAGGCACAACACAACAGCACAAATCTGTATATATAAGAATTTGTTTCCCTAACCCGTGGACGTCTCTGTCAGTCCAAAATTTGTATGTTTTGATCTTGAGAGGACACACAGGGGACTCCAAAACCAACTGTATTAGTAGAAGCCAGACATCCTCAAAATCGAAGCGTCTACCATAATGTATAATCGTTTATTTTATATCTGCTTTTTCTCACTATCTCTTTATTTCCCTTTTTTCACTCTCTCTGTCTCTCTTTGTCTTTTTCTCCACATAAATATACATATAATTTATGTTTATATTTTCTCTCTCTCGCTCTCTCTCTTCCTCTCTCTCTCTCTCTCTCTATATACCTGTTTCTCTCTATATACAACAATTATATATACTGTAAATATACATTTGCATATATATATATTTATACATAGAGAGAGAGAGAGAGAGAGGGGGGGGGGTGAAGAGAGAGTTTTACATATATATTATATATATATATATATATATATATATATATATGCATATAAGAGAAAGAGAGAGAGAGAGAGGGAGAAAAGATAGGAATATATATATATATATATATGTGTGTGTGTGTTTAGGCCTATTAAATATATCTCTCTATAAATGTTTATATATATATTTATATATATCTGTATCTCTCTAGTAAGGGTCACAGAGCAAGGCGGCGAAAAAAGAGGAAAGGGACTCAACATGAAAATCGTTGCTTTTAAGCCTTTTATTTGCCACAATCCAGGGTAAAGTGCATGAGAAAAAAAGTACCAAGTTACTTGATGATGACCTTGTAATTTTAACCGAGAAATAACATCACACATTTGAGTTTTCAAAGGTTGAAAATATTACAAACTTCTTACTCGCATTGCTGCGCATCCTAACATAAAGGTTATATTTGTTTCTTGTTGAATTTTGATAAAATTATTATATAGGATAAAGTGCACGAAGCCCCAAACATTGTTTAAACTTGGACTGCCGAAAGAATTGCTAAATTCCGATGAATAATTAGCGACTACATCTTCGGGGCTTTCGTTCATTTGTGCCCCGAATATCAATACATCGGACATTATTTTAATGAATGGATTTAAACATTATTAATTATTATATTAATAGTTATAATCATAACACTAATGATGTTCCTAATATCAATATTTATAATCTCGGTTGATTTTCCTTTTTTACATGGTGCAACATTATTATTTAAAAACGATTTTGACCAGAAACTTCACAGATGAGAACTTTTTAAGAAATTACATGCTAGAATATGACGATTTTAATGCTCTCATCTTGAAAGCGTGACTTGTGTTCATGATCCACATGCCACAGCGCAAATGGTGACGCGCATTATAAGTTATCAAATGACTAATTACACCCAAGATTAGTGTGGGATAGGCGCATCTTCAGATATGGCAGAGAGTATTCCTATTGGTTGACCTACTTATCATGCTTATATAAAATAGATTTTGATTGGTAGGGTCCATACAAATGGGCGTGTCTAAAGTGGTCAAAAATAAGATAGAGGCGGTCCTTCAAGAGATAACACAGGGATAAAATGATTTTCAAAATACCAACTTACAACAATATTAGCGCTGTGTTATATCTGGGAAATACAACAAAAGATAACACAATACTTGCAACACTGTTCAGAATACCACCCCGGGAGTGAACTATGCCAATTACGATATTCGCAATCAATATCACGTGACAACCTGTGGACCAATCACAACCTTGTATTTGTAAAAGCGATCTAAAACCACCTCACTATTTCCATGCAATACAAAATCGAGCTTGAACTTATATTTCATCACATATAAAGCTTTGCCACGAGCTTAATTACAAATTTGTTTTGTTTGGTAATAATCCATGAAACTTTTACGATTACAGGAAGAAATACAAATCTCACTATTGAGTGTGAACACATAATTCAATATTTGAGAAAGGAAACTACAAAAAACATACCCCAAAAAGCTGCCGTATTGTGGGAAATGAATTTCATATTATATGGTGAAAATATGATATTTGGGGGGAAGAAATGAATTTTGTTTAAAAATTCTTATGTTACAGTTATAAAGTGAAAATAATTTTTTTTAAATAAGTAAAAGTACTAGATAGTATGGATCAATCAATATTTATGTATTCATTTAACATTTACATTTTGACATTTTACTTAATAGTGCCTATTAAATAAGTGATAAATTGTAACTTCTTTGATTTAAACAAAATATCAGAATGTATTAATGACAATTACAAAGTACTACATTATATATACTACATGCACAAGGTGAATACTGTCTTTAAAACAAATAACAACCAACTATCCTGCTAACCCAGATAGATTCCAAACAAATAATGGATTAATATATCATTTGAAAATGAGAGCTACATGGATTCGAGTGTAAATTTAAACTGAAAAAGGCTTAAAGAGAAGGTTGAGTTCGGGGGAGAGGTGAAATATAATTTGTGAGCGTTATCATTGTTATCATATGAGTGTGGAAGAACATCAGATAATTTTTCCCCCTAAAAAACATGGCTCGCAAATGCCTTAATATTCTAAACACGACAAGTAACAGCTTAAAAATGAGGCCCGATCTTTATGCCATATGTTTGTGTAGTCCCATATACACCTTTCTGTGTACAGTGCTTGTTACATTACCAAGACTGGGCCACATTTCTTATCATTTTGATGACCCCAGAACCTTACAGTACGCACCAATACTTAAATGCCACATGATCAACCTTTCCTGATCGATTCCAAGCCATTTCTTGCACAATGCAATCGCATTACCAGAACTCAACTTTATCTTTAAATGCAAGAACAAATGATAATGATAATGATACGGATACATTCGAGAGATAAAAAAGGAATACAAAATAATAAAGACAAAGCAAACTCTTTGATACGAATTTGATGTTTGTATATACTTTCGGCATATTCGTTAGTCCAGTCTGGTTCAATCAGTGTATTATTTGCCTGAATATTCCTCTGGACGGGAAATCACCCACGGTCTTTTATAAGACGATCTGACAGATGGCGTAGAGCTCATAATGACAGGGAATAACACGCCATTTGTATTGTCCAGTCAGTGAAACACAGGTTTCATTTCCGTAGATGAGTGGCTGACCGCTTTCCCAATCTGAAAGGGAGACATAATTTATTATATTATTATGCGTTCTTCTCCCATGCAGGACAACGATGGTAAAAATAATGCAGCTAATAATGATAATACATGTAATACATGCATTTATAAAGCGCAGTTATTCGTAACAATTTGACAGAGATACGAGAACGTGGATTTGCAATGCAATGTAATGCAAGTTTCATGAAAAATAGTTCTGCAGTTAATTCATAGGTAAAGACACTATATTTTAGATAAATCTTTGAATAAATAATAAATAAATAATAATGGGTTCTTGTATAGCACTCATGTCAGTCAGATTTGACCCTCCTGGCGCTCTCGATTATTATCCTTGCTTTAGCACGGCTGTCATACAGCGCTCTAGAATTTCAAGGAATGGATTCCTACCAGGTACCCATTTACTTCACCTGGGTGGAGTGTAGCAAATGTAGATCAATGTTTTGCCAAAGGAAATTTTTGCGGCGGCGGAACTCGTAGAGGGTTATGTTATAGTTTGATCTTAATTCGGGGTATCTTCTTTTATCTTATTTGTTTACAGACCGTGATCATTGTTGAAGTCTACTGATTGACTGACACAAATAGCCAAATCTCATATATGACCACGGTGACTATCATCCATGCCTTGTGTCGACTGCCCCATCCCTGGGTGTGACTACACTACCCCGGACCTTGAGACTGCTATCGTAGCTGCCTTAATCACTGCCCATAGCGCTTCCTACACCGCTGGACCTGCCGCAAAGGTGGAGAAGGTTAAATGTCCTACAGTTGCTGCGGCTGGCTCAAGTGAAGAATGGGCGTACTTCTTGTCTCGATGGACTGATTATGTCGCGGCCACAAAGGTCACCGGCAGGGACAAGGTTATGCAGCTGCTCGAATGCTGCGACGAACCCCTACGTAGAGACTTCACAAGGTCAGCTGGTTGTAGTCTGACCGGCAAACCCGTTGGCGATGCTCTGGCGGCCATCAAAAAGCTGGCAGTCCGTGAGGAACACTCTATGGTGGCCCGTGTAGCCTCCTCGCTCCTGGACTTCAACTCCTCATTGGACGCGGCTAGCAGCACTTACAGGAAAGCCAAGGTGACAACTATTAAGGAGAAACAGGACCTTTGTGGTTACTGCGGCAGGAGAGGACACGGGAAGAGTGCCCCGGCCAGCACCCGACAAACTCGGTGCCCAGCATATGGCCATAGATGCACACATTGTGATAGGCCCAATCACATGGAGAGCGTGTGCCGCAGCAAGGACAAACCTAAACGTTCGTCACCCGGTGCCCCAGGTGATAATGATGATGCCATCTTTGATGCCCTTTGCTCCTGCCACACTTGACTACCTCACTAATACGTGGCTCAAGAATTTGTCATTGCCCCAGCCATTCATTTTCGTGACCATCAGGATCGTGCCCGATGACTGCACTGCCTTTGGTTTCAACCTATCTACCCCTATAGTGTCTTCCTCGGTTTCTGCTATAATTGCAGACACAGGGTGCCAGAGCTGCCTTGCTGGTATCAATTCATTCGCCAGCTTGGGTTTCGTCAATCGGATCTCCTACCGGTCGAAATGAAGATGCACACCACTACAAAACTCTTCCTCAGAAAGGAGCCATGCATCGCCCTAGGGATCTTCCCTCATACCTTCCCTACGTTGGGTACGACTCAGTCCGCACACCAGGTAGGGACACAAGCAGGCCTCCAAGATGGCTCCGGGAAACTTGTGACTGCACCAGGCGTCAACGGCCTCCCCCACCTCCGACACAGTTGCCATTTCCTGCCACTGATGACAACCGTATGAGGTTACAACAGCACCTCCTCAAGTACTACCAATCGAGCACATTCAATACTTGTAAACATCAAGTCTTGACCCTCATGGCCAACCCTTCCTTGAAACTGATGGTCGACCCCGACGCTGAGCAAGTTGTGCATCACACACCAGTACCCGTTCCACTCAACTGGCGGGATGCTGTGAAAGCAGGATCGGATCATGACGCGCAGTTGGGAGTGCTGGAACCGGTCCCCATTGGCGAGCCTGTTACCTGGTGTCATCGGATGATAATTTGCGCAAAGGAAATTGGCACACCGAGACGAACTGTCGATTTCCAGGCGCTCAACGCCCACGCTACATGCGAGACACACCACACACCATCGCCATTACCAGGCTCGTTTGGTCCACACCAGAAGAAGAAAACTGTCTTTGATGCATGGAATGGTTACCATAGCGTGCCACTATGCAGAGAGGACCGTCACCTGACCACCTTCATTACCCCCCTGGGGCAGAAACCGCTACAAGACGGCCCCTCAAGGATACATTGCCTCCGGTGATGGTTAAGCAAGACGTTACGATGAGATCGTGTCGGACATTCACAACAAAACCAAATGTGTGGATGATGCTCTGCTGTGGGCGGACACATTGGCGGATAGCTACTTCCAAGCTATCGAGTGGCTGGATGTCTGCGGTTGGAATGGCGTTACCCTCAACCCTGACAAGTTCGTGCTGGGCGCATATGTTGTTGAGTTTGCTGGATTTGAGATTAAACCCGACAGTGTCCGTCCATGCAAGAAATACTTACAGGTCATCCTGAACTTCCCTACACCGAAGAACGTCACCGACGTGCGCTCTTGGTTTGGGCTTGTCAATCAAGTGTCCTATGCCTTCAGTATTACTGCAAAGATGCTGCCGTTCCGCCAGCTCCTGAAGCCCACCACAGCCTTCACGTGGGACGAGGCCCTTAAGAGTGCCTTTGATAAATCCAAAGCCATCATCGCAAATGAAATCGAGGAAGGTGTGAGGATCTTTGACCCGAGCAAGCCCACTTGCCTGGCTACAGATTGGTCAAAGCATGGCATTGGTTCTGGCTTCTTCGGAAACACTGCACGTGCAATTCCTCGGAACCATTTTGTTGTCCCTCTGGATGGCAAATCACGCTTGTAGGCAGCAGGTTCACGCACGCCGCTGAATCACGCTGTGCTACGATCGAAGGTGAGGCCCTCGCCGTGGCTGATGCCCTAGACAAGGCCAGATACTTCGTACTTGGATATGAGGACCTCATCCTTGCTGTCGACCACAAGCCCCTTCTGAAGATCCTCACTGACCGCTCCCTAGCAGACATCCCCAACCCTCGTTTGAGGAACTTGAAAGAGAAAACCCTGCGATATAGGTTCCGGATCGTCCATGTCCCAGGTGTCCGACAACGTGCAACGGACTGCCTCTCAGGTCACCCGACTGGTGCACCTCTGAAGTTACACCGGCATGCCGATGTCGCGACCATTGGTCCTTCTCCATCAACTTGACAGAACCCCTGACACTCATGGCTGGCTTTCGCGCTGACACGGATGCTGACGCAATTGAAGCAGGAACTCTCTCGTCTTCTGTGTCCTCCCTGAACTCCCTTCACCTCAAATCTGTCACGTTGGACAGGGTGCGTACTGCCACAGCCAGCGACGAGGACATGCATTCCCTCATTGGCTTAGTTGAGTCCGGCCTACCAGCCTTCCGGCATGAACTCCCGGGTCCCCTTAATGACTACTTCCAGTTTCTGGACGATCTTTATACAGTTGATGGAGTTATCCCCGCATCGTTATTCCCCACCAAGGGGTCACCTCCATGACCGCCAAGGCAGAGGCATCTGTCTTCTGGCCCGGTATCACCACTGCCATCTCCAACCTCCGTGCTAGATGCGACCATTACAATCAGATTGCGCCGTCCAACCCTAGTTCGCCGCCAACTCCGCTGACTTCCCCGGTCTACCCATTCCAATGTATCTGTGCTGACTTCTTCCATTACAAAGGCTGCAATTACTTGGTTGTCGTCGACCGATACTCCAACTGGCCGATAGTTGAGAAGTCTACCCACGGCGCAGATGGCGCATCTTTATCACGTTCGGCATCTCTGACGAGCTGGCCTTAGATGGTGGCCCCGAATTTACAGCAGCAGCCACACGTCGATTCCTCCAGGACTGGGGTATCCATCATCGCCTTTCTTCCGTGGAATACACCCATAGCAACTGTCCCGCTGAAGTGGGTGTAAACACCATCAGGCGCCTTCTCCTGGACAACAACAGTCCTACCGGTGCCCTTGACGCTGACGCATTCCAACGTGCGATGATTCAGTACAGGAACACGCCTGACAGGGACATCAAGCTCTCGCCCGCCATGTGCGTATTCGGCCTTCCTATTCGGGACTTCATTCCGGTGGCGCCCGGCAAATACGAGCCTCATCGCATTTGGCGTGAGACCTCGGGAAGATGCACTGCGCAATCGCCACATGAGAAGTGATGAACGCTGGTCAGAGTAAACCAAGCTACTTCCGCCCCTTACAGTTGGTGACCATGCCGCATACAGAACCAGATGTGACCCCACACCCCTTAAATGGGACAAGACTGGGGTCGTTGTCGTGGTTCACCAGTTCGACCAATACGTGATCCGCGTCGAGGGCTCCGGGAGAGTTACACTACGGAACAGGAAGTTCCTGAGACAGTATGTTTCAGTGTACACGCGCCCCCTCCTTTGGTGATGGACGGTGACTTTGGCAGAACTCGTCCGAGTACTCGACAGCCAGTCCTGCGGCCAGACCTAGGGGCCCTGCCGCTTTCTACTGTACAGCCTGGGGATCCCGCTTCAGGACCTTTGACAGCCCTACCCCTGGTGCCACCATTGACATGCCCTGACACCCCTGCCACCAGCCAGCCGGGACCTGTCATGCCCCCTGTTCGGAAAGCTCCAACTACCCCTGCCGCTTCTTCTGGAACGTCCCATGGCCTGCCCCGTCGTCTTCTTCACCCATCTGTGGTTGTTCTTGTCCATTGGTCTGTCGACACGCAGTTGTCGTCGCTCACACCCATCAGACGGGCTAGCTCCTCCTAGGCGATCTACCCGTCGCCCAGCCAAACCTGTCTGGCACTCAGACTATGATATGTGACATTGGCACTCGAACAGTTTGCCTTATGTCTTTAATTCTTTAACTGATATTTGGCTATTGCATTTCTTGCTTTGCCAGTTTTTGATGACATTCCGTCATGTGTTAGGTTTCGTTTTAGCCTGGTCCGCGTTCACGTTTACTGTTGTTATTTTAAGTCTTTTTCGCACTGTTAGCCTTTCGTTTCTTTTTGCACCAAAGACTTGGGGGGGGGGGAGATAGAGGATTATGTTGTATTTTGATCTTAACTAAGGGTATCTTCTTTTATGAAAATTCCAGTTCAAAATAGAACTTTAACAATAATCAAGTACAGTGGTGTGAATCCTAAGACCAATGTGTACGTTGCATCAGCAAACAAATATTACGATGTTGCTAACTATTGATGTTGCAGAAATTACAACCAATGTAATTTCAAAGTTTGGAAATCCATTCGATTGGCGTAATTGCGTTTAGCAAAACTGTGCTTAATTATCGAGATTAAACTTACTGGTTGAATTAATCTGCACAGCTGCTCCCTTTCCATCAACGTCGCACATGAACAGCCCTTCGGCTTCCATGTAATTACAGTTAATCCATGCAGAATTTCCCTTGAGCATTAAGGCGACCCCGGACGTCACTTCTTCGGTATCTGCAAATAGGAGGGATGGTGTCCTGTCTCCTGCAGCCGTGGTTATCAGTCCAAGGGTTGGGCAGAAATCGTGACCGTTCTGCCAATTTAGCCAACTTGTACCAACGCCGCGGCGGCCGTAGCATTTCGAGGACGTGCATTCCCATTCCGTCTCTGAAAAACCAATGAACATTGAAAACATTGTGACGGAATTGATTTCAAGACAGATATATCTTTGAGGATAGTCACTTATCATCAGATCTTCTATTGTGGTCAATTCTGTTAATATAATACTTGTCTAAATGGTCACCTATTTTTGAGGGTTTTAAGAAGATAAATGTGCATCAGAATCTGTTTAGGAAGTCCACATGTCTACAAGGGCCATATTTTTGTTTATCTAGGTATGGAATCACTTTAGACAGAAAGTAAAAATGCATTTAGATGTTCTAATTTTTATCTATTTTGCACCATGGAGCTTGAGTGTGTGACAACTGTTTTGGCCTTTTATATAGCCTGCGACAATCCCCAATACAAAATCAAGTTATCCAGTTGAGGAGAAAAGTCTAATAATTTAGGTGGCGAAAGTACGTGTTCATGGGTCTCAAAGGCTTTGATTTAATCACATTACACCACTACACATTATCGCAACTATTTTCGAAAATAATCAACTCAAGCGCAATTTCAATATCTTATATTGTACATCCTTTGTCAGTCATGTTTTGATTACGTAATACATCATTGTCATGTTTGCAATTTCAATAGGTGGCGCACAAGGCAATTGGAAACGCTTTGGTTGGCTTTTCGAAATTAGTTGCTATCGTACATGTTAAAATATTCTTTCTACGAAGGCGTCACCTCGACTCATCATTGAACTGAGTGAAACAGTGACAGTGACAGACTTGGCTATTAAATTATTATTAAACTACGCTTTTACTAGAATTCTGGACTTGTAGGCTATGCACAGTTATCTTTGAGGTAATATCAAAGAAAATTCACACATGACATACCTACAGATACGAGGGTGATGTTGAAAGAACAGTTTGTGTTTAAAAGGCCGCTGTTGTCAGTCACAGTATAGATGACGCTAATGGGGCTATTCACGGAGACATTAACTCCAGGTTCATAGTTGGCGACGATGCAGGCAATTCCAGACGCATCACTGGCTGTTGGTGGTGTCCAAGTGATTGGTGTGGTGGTTTTGAGAACCGAGAATGTCTGGTTAGAAGAGCAGGATTGTACCTCCGGAGGGGTGGTATCGACTGTGATATCAAGACATAATAAGAATGCATTATGGTCTGTTATCCAGTCAAACCATCATGGGCTCAGAAAATCGGACTCAAAAGTGAATGAGCATTTCATATTGACCTTCTATCGAACGGTTGAGTTGACGAATCATCAATTTCATTTGTTTTGCTTGTATTGACCCGAACATCTCTCCACCTTTCTCAAATTAAAGTGTTAAAAGAGCATGCTCATTAATACCAAGTATCCCTTTACATGATACAGTGAATAAAGTAAGTAAAAATATCAAATTGCAAAACAGTTCTTAATACCGGTATTGACGTTGACGTTGAAGGTACAAAAAGATGCTTGGTTTCCGCTCTCATCAGCAAATATGTACTCAACGAGAGTTGACCCAACTGGGAAATCATCCCCCGATTTATAGTTCTGATGGGAGACCAGGACGACAGTTCCTTCTTTATCGACAGCCGATGGTGAGATGAACTCTACCGACTTATTCGGAGTACCAAGCTCAACGGTTACTGTGATATCCTTCACACAGGTAACAACAATTCCCGGGGTCGTTGCAGGTGGATTTGTGTCAACTAGAATAAAAGATTGATAGATAACATTGGTGAAATTAATGAAGTAAACAGGAACGTTGGAGACAAAAATTATTGAGTGACATACATTTCCAAACATTTCACCTTGCAAGCCTCATACCGACGACCACCCGCGGTCAGTTCAGTTACGAGACTATAATGCCGGTAACGATTGGTATCTTCCTAGATTCGAGTTTAGCATTAGGAGATTGGTCAATTTGCATTTTTAAAGTTCTTATCTAATCCGAAGCTCATTTCATTCAAAAACCCAATCGTAGCCAAAAGAAAAATTGAGGAAAAGTAAACTACTTGTCTCTAATGGTATACTGCATCGTGCTGGATGGTTTCATTATACCCTAAAGATATCAAATGCAGTTCTTATCTTTGTTCTTACGTTCATGACATTGTTTTCCTTGAAATCCGATAGGGCAGTGACATCTATATCCGGTCATAGTCTCCTCACACCAACCGTTTTCACATGGATTCATGTCGCAGTCTGCAAACATAATGTAATAAGCATGTAATTAATGAAATACAAAACTGCACCCCTGTTTTAGAACTACTCTGGGTTTCTTGAATAAGACAAAAAAATAGTTATATTAGTTAGTAATTTATTCCTAGAATACCTAGATACAATCGTTATTTTTCTTAAGGACAATATCCGAACTGAAAAATGAAATGGATGAATTATATATCAACGGAAAGCTTATGAGCCAAAGATTACAATAATATCAATTATATGCCATTTCAGTGTCTGTCAGCCCTCTGAAAACACAAAACCTAAAGTATTGAAAATCGGAAGTTGTGGACCTGAAAACTTGCCATCGACTTGATGACATCGTCTTAGATGTGGGGTGCTCAATGATTGTGCATTAATCAAGCAACGGCTCATCACCTCAACTTTATAGGCGAACCGGTCGAGTCCACATGTTATGTCGTCACTGTAATTTCGGCAAATTTGACCCCTGGTGAGTGACCCGTAATTTGGAGGGGCGCGGAAATGAGGTTTTAATTTTCTTTTGTGCAATAATAAAAGGATAAATACTTGTTATTCCTTATTATTTAAATTCTACATTAATTCAGTTAATAAGTTGTATTTTCATCGGATAGGGTCTTTAAAGTCCAAACAAAAGCTCCCCAAAGGATTTTAAGGGAAAACAAGAGGGGAAAACAATCACCCGGGAATCTGCAGACTCGATGTCCAGGAGGAACACCACGTTTACTCTTCCTTCTGGGGCAACTGCCTTCTTCGAATGAATTAGGGATAAGCTTTGGGATGGTTTGCACCATACTGCTATTAGGATGTCCTTTCTTCTGACACTCAAAGAACATTGGTAAGGTGTAATTCAGGCCGAATCCGTCCGTACAACAAGTCTTTGTCTCATTCATGCTTGCATCCGATGACACGAGTAGGGCTGTGGGGAAGATTATACAAGGAGAGTAGTTACCATGGTTGCATAGTTTCTTTTCCTTCTTTAAGACTATCCTAGATATTACCCCTGCGATTATCTAATGCGTATAGATTCGGTATCGTTTCTCCGTTAGGGCACAATCTTTCGTGTATTCTCTTCCAATCACTTTTCTCATGAGATTTTGCATACTACATGTATTTCATCTACAAATATGACGAAGATCTGATGTTCGAGACTAACCCCCACATGGCACGAAGCATCGATTTGTACACCTTATATTGAGAGATTTTAGGAAGATATGATATTCCGGAACAGGCATGAAACTGATAATTTAGAGTATAATTTGCTCTTAGTGTATTTTCCATTTTGGGGGCTTTTATATGTTTGTATGAAATATTTTATTGTATTCTTTGACTTTGCATGTTTTTTGATGAAAGTGGTGAATAAAATTCAATTCAATTCATTAATCAACCAAATAATTTTCATAATAAAAGGCAATATTTTATAAAAAGAGAGCAACTAATCTTTAGATCAATCATGTAATTTATTGTATATTTGATTGTTGTAAAGCGCATAGAGAATTTATTATTATGCGCTATATAAAAATTACTTTATTATTATTATTAACTAAGAAACTCTTTTAAAGAGATAGGGGGATAGATAATAATAATGAAAATGGGGAAATGGACATTTTTTAAGAGGATCTTTACAACACCATCCCAATTTGCATTAACACACTTGTGACGTTAGACAGACATGATAATTAAGTGGAAGAGGAGTTGTACAGAAAGTTAAGGGGAGGAAATAAGGGAGGGGGATGGGAAAGGAGAATTTGGAAAGAAAGAATAACAAGTATAATGTTTGCGTGGATTATAAGCAGGTGAACGTGCTTTGCTTTTTTGACGAAAACGATGAGGTCTCGAAGGCAAAGTATAAACTATAAAGCACAGGAGCTAAGCCTAGGAAAGAGAAAATTAAGTCCAAGCTTTATAAGTATCTAATTTTTGATGCCATTTCGCCATTAAAATGTGTAATTATGCCTGTTAGCATGAAGGTTTCACCTTCTGAAGAAGAATGAGAAAAAAAAATCTCTATTTAATGCATACAAACTATATTTACCGATGGACAGGCAGATTACGATGCCATAGGTACATTTCAAAACATACTTCTGTTCCATGCTCTCTGCTAAAAAAAGGAAAGATAGTGATGATAAAAATTATTATCGTCACTTTATCAGACAAGTTCAGATTTCTGTTAACTTTATGAATGTATTCTTAATTAGTTTTTGCAATACATGTAACTATTCAAATGGTTCACATCTTTGAAATCCTAGGTTTTAATAAAAAAAAAAGTGCCTAACGTGAGGTATTCTAGAATCTAGATTTTGACAATGTTATAGCTGGATAATGTGTTGTCCAAGGAAGCTTCATCCAATAGTCATATGCATAGTGATTGAGTTAATCATCTTTAAAGGATGATTGTTTTCGTCAATCATTACTCACCGGTTCGGTAGAAAAGACAAAAAAAAAAACTTGTGATAAGTTATCGATCTTGTCCTATAGCACTCTGATCAACCGATGTGGTACTCTCCACAACAGGACAAAGTTAAAAAGGCAAAACAACAATGCGTATCGGATACTATATGCGGAAAAGAACAAGGAATTGGTTAAGGGTATTCTAAAAACTGTTGAGCTTCAATATCCATGATATCCAAGCCGACAGATTATGACATTACTGCAACGGGTGCATAAGTCCTGTTGTGTTTGGCGGCGAGCCGGCGAATGATATTTCATATGGAAACCTTTGCTTGTATTTGTCTCATAAAAGAATTTGAGCACGAACTGACTCCCACACGGTGTTGAGTGCTCAGGGGTCACTGGCCACTGGCTTCATCGGGCAGGTAGTTCCATTATGTGAATGGGTAAATTAACTATTACAAAATGAGGGGACACATTACATTGTACACTAGGGACACACATTGTTTTTATTGTGCAGAACATACTCTTTTATTGACTTATTGCATGAAACTATAAAACCAAAATGCATTTTGTATTCTAACAATTGGATTACAAAAAATAATAACAGGTGAATGAAATGCATAAACACCACAAACACCTGGGGAGGAAGCATTCATAAATTTGAATACATAATATGATAAACGACTCTGATGAAACTATAAAACCAAAATTAAATTTGCGTTCTGGCAATTGGAGTACAAAGAATGATAGCAGGTGAATGAAATGCTTCAACAGCAACACAAACACCTGGGAAGCTAGGAAGCATCCATAAATTTGAATAATTTAGTTGATAAACGACTCCGCATGTGGACGTTTGTTGGAGCAGAAAGCAGTGGATTCAACACGAACCCATTTAACAGAATGTCGGAACGTAAATTAAATTTGGCGCGGTTGGAAAATGCATCTTTCTACCCTGCAACTTTAATGGTACGATCCAGTAAATTAAAACAATAAAATGGCTCTTTTTTTTAAATTACTCATTAAATAAAACCCAAAACTTCAGTGATATCAGAAAAAATATGTTATATCTTACTAATAATTAAAAAAAGATGTATAAACATTGTGAAAGTGTCGCATTTTACGATAAAAGACACCGATTTAGCAAAGATCACGTCATTAATGCGCTTGCATCAGGGAATTCAAGGTCAAAAGGTCAATTCAGACGCTGATGAGTTGTTGGTCGAGCATTTTTGTTTCCTTTATTCCGACAAAATTATACAATCAATCAAAATAAGTTTGATACCAGAAGAAAGCTAACGATTAGTATTTTCATTAACCGCTTGCCCCAAAGTCTCTTGACCAAAGTGAAACGAGTGAGAGCTTGCGAGAGCGGCCAACGTGTGATTGAAACTCGCTATTTGCTCTTCTCCAACGCAAAAAGAGACGACATTGAGCTGGATAAATGTATTTTTTCCGACAAAAGTACAGAAAATTTGCATATGGTCTTTTTATATTATACTTTATGAAATGTTTCCCGAGTGACTTCCGGGCGCCCCAATGCTGGAAAGAAACGCACATTTTAGAAAACTTCACTTTTTCATGGAAAAATGCTTATTTGTTCTATGCACGCAAGTCAGATTGAGCGGATGATACAACGTTTCCATATGTTTCGGTGAAAATGTCACTTTTTCATTTGTTATTTGTGTAGTAAGAATTTAGACGATTTTTCATGTATTAAGAAGTTTTCTTATTTTCCTTTGAAAAGATAACATGTGTTTCTTTAAGGACACCTTAGAATATCCGGGACCGGTACGTGGCAAAAGTAAGTCACGTCTAAGTTTAGAGCCACATCATCAAGTCAGAGAACGGACGTGTTAGTCCACCATTTTTGATGTAACAGTTTTGTCACAAATGTCTCCGCGAGGGCTGATTTGTGTTCCACGGTCTCGAGCAGATCCTGCCAAAGATGTACGTTTTAATTATCAATTGGTTCAGAGGCAATTAAGCAAATATATAATGTAGAAATTTAGAGTTAAATGAATTGTAACTAACGAGCGTGGAATGTACACAACTTGTATGGCCAGGTATGGCGAGAGTATTTTCGGTTAGTTAGGTAATTAATACCATAATTGTCTAAATATGTGTGGTGATGTGCTTGTATAAATAATGCATCAAATAATAGATTTATTTGGTGGCATTAACAGTAAGATTTGAGAAGTTTTGATTCTGTTTTTTGTTGTAAGAAACACTTCAATTTAGAAAGTGGGTAAATGAAACAGATGTTGGTTTTGTATCAATTTTACATTGATAGATGATACAGTGTGAGAATATTTGGACTGAAGGGGTCATGATTGTATTTCTTTGATTGTAGTCGAAATATATAAGGACAGGTTTTTTGGAACAAATTAATAAACAGGCATTACTCAAGTTGAGATTAGAATGAATATTCAATCTTTATTGCAAATATTCATTTAACATTTAAAGTAAATTATAAGAAGCATATTTACATGAGGGCTAGGTATGTTTACAATTGGTAAATACAAAAAGAGGATTTTGAAACAAAGTTGCAAACTAAGGATATACCTGTTTCACAAAGTCAATATTTAATGGTTTGACATAACGATGTATTGGTGATTAGCAATCGCAAGACAACGATGCTAAGGATTTCTTCATCTTT